TAACCGCCGAGCGCGCGGGCACTGAAGACTTCCTCTGGCTCGTCCCCCTTCGACGCGCTCCAGGGTCTCACCCGGCGTGGGGGGAAGGGGTCGGAGCGGGGAGCAGACCTGGGAGGCGGTGGCTGTCCCCTGGAAGTTGAGTTCCGGGCAGTGGGAACAGGCTCTGCCTTGCTTCCCGCTGATTAACAAACAGCCCCGGCAGGTGTGGCTCCGTGGCTGAGCATCAACTTACGAACCAGGAGGTCAGGGTTCGATTCCCAGTCAAGGGCCCAGGCCTGGATGGCAGGCTTGATCCCCAGTGGGGGCCGTGCAGGAGGCAGCCGATCCATGATGCTCTCTCATCACTGATGTGTCTCTCTCTCCCTTTCTGATATCAATAAAAGTATATTTAAAAAGCGCTTTCCTCCCACATCAGTGCTTTCCTGTGGCCACCTGGCTTCGCCCATGTTCACTCATGCTGTTCATGCCGGTGCGGGACGGGGTGGAGGGCGAAGGGACGGGACCGGGGCGGGAACTGGCCTTTCCCGGCGTTTCCCGTCATTAAACCCGGGCGACGGGACCGTTTCAGACTCAGCCCCCACGTCGCAGAGTCCTCGGGGAGGGGGGGGGACCCACGGGGACACAGGCGGGATCCCCCCGACCCTGAAAGTCACTGTGACATCCTAGGGAAGAGTCCTGGGGGACGACGAGGCCGGTGGACACGCTCGATAGAAAGAAGTCTCTGTCCTCCCTGGACTCTGATATCTGACTTTGAACTTGAAAAGAACCGTGAATGCTGACTCCAAAGAGGCCTCTGAGAAGCAGAGAGACTCAGTCGGTCCTTTGTCTGGGCCGCTGCCCCCGAGTGGACGGCGGTGGTGGGAGCACCGGACACACAGCCGCTGGGATTGGCCTGTTCAAAGGACCCGGTGCACCTCGCTGACCTGGAGAAGGGTGCTTCAAAGGAGGAAATCGCCAGGAGCAGATGTCCCCTCGGAGCCTGGGGGGGAGGGGCACGGGGGATGAAAGGGGGGCCCCTGAGCCCTGTGGCATGTGGGGCGCAAACAGGCCCCTGTCCTCTTGCAGGCCCTTCCCACGCTCCTCCACGTACTGAGTCTCGTTGTTTACTTGTTTCCCTCATTCTCCCACTCACAGCGACAGGACGAGCTGCGCTCACACAGTTCTGCTTACTGAGCCCCCGCCGTGCTGAGCGCTGCTTCTTGGAACGTACAAGCTGGTGTTTGCCTCTCGTGAGTGGGACTGAGATGAACACAGAGGCACCCTTTTGTCGTCTGGACGTAGGTTTGGATTTCTGTGGGCATCCGTGAGATGCCCAAGAGTGTGATTCCGGGGTCAAAGCGTACAGCGCAGGAATGAATTCTTTAAAAAAAAGATTTTATTGATTTTTTACAGAGAGGAAGGGAGAGGGATAGAGAGTTAGAAACATCCATGAGAGAGAAACATCGATCAGCTGCCTCTGCACACCTCCTACTGGGGATGTGCCTGCAACCAAGGTACATGCCCTTGACCGAAATCGAACCCGGGACCTTTCAGTCTGGGTTTGATTCCGGTCGATGCTCTATCCACTAAGCCAAACCAGTTGGGACAGGAATTCTTATTTTTTTATTTTTTTTATTTTTAGGGGGATTCTTATTTTTAAGTGAAGAGCTGGCACACTGCTTCCCAGAGCCGGTGAGCCATTTTTCATGCCCACCGGCAATGTGTCAGGGATCCGGCTTCTTCGTTTTGTGCAAGAGCCACACTCAAGAGGCCAAAGAGCCGCATGTGGATCACAAGCCACGGCTTGCTGACCCCTTCACTAGTCTGCTCGTGGCCGGGACTATTCTGAAGGCTAACCTCAGAGTCCAGATGGATGCCTCTCACAGGCGACGTCTAAAGAAGTCTGAGAGAGCTCCCGTTCAGAAGCACAGGTACAAATGCTGAGTGATGAGGAAATGCCGTTCCACAAGTCTTTCTTTCCCCGGGCAACGGGCTCTCCTAAGCAATTTGAACACAAGAGGCCCGGTGCACGGAATTCGTGCAGGAGGCTCGGCCCTGCAGCCCCTCAGAGCCCCGGCTTCGTCAGGAAGGTCATCCAGACGCTGGCCTGGCAGGTCACCAGGGCGCTCTTTCTGCTGTTCGGTCTCATTAGCACATTAACTCTTTATTATACACAGAGTGGCCAGATGATGGTGATCTCTGAACGCGTAATCATCTGGCCACTCAGTGTCTATCCTATAGAATAAAAGGCTCATATGCAAATTGTCCCCTCGACCAGGAGTTCAACCAGCAGGCAGGCTGGCCAACCACCCATGTCCCGTCCCCCTAGCCAGGCTGGCCGGACCCCACCCATGCACGAATTCATGCACTGGGCCTCTACACACACACACACACACACACACACACACACACACACACACACAGTGGCCAGATGATTATGCGTTCAGAGATCATCATCATCTGGCCACTCAGTGTATAGGATAATCAGTTATCTGATGTCTTATTTCTTCATCTTTGTTCCAGGTCATGACCCATGCTCTGAAATTAAAAAACAAACAAAAAACACCCAAACTAGCCCACTTCTGATGAAGAAATCAAATCTTTATTTCTAGGATGTTAGCACAATATACTCACACAATAGCTTTGATCTGTACTTAACAAAATACATTATAGCACTTTACAAACTTTATCAGTTTGGAAATCACTGCGTAACGTTTTATTAAACACGATACTTTGATATATATATATATATATTATATATATATTTCCATAACTTTATTTACTTTAAAAAGATAATTAACTCTCTTGGTTTGATACTCGGTTTTCTCAGGAAAGCACAGCCTTAGGGCTAAGGGAGGAACAGAGCACTGGAAGGGAGGGCGCCACCTGTCGGTCTCACCTATTCTACCTTAACGTACCATGGAATGTAAACAATTTTTTTTGTTAATTATTACTTTTTTTTTTTTTTTACAAAAGATGTGTTATCAAATACACATGCAGAGGTCTGAGTTCTCCGGCTGTCCTTGGATTTCCTTAACCACGTGGTACAACTGAAGTCTTTAAAAACGTCGCCTTTGGCACTTGGAGTAGAAAAAGAAAGTATCAAGATTTATGTAAAGAACAAAGCGTCAGTGACAAGAGTTCTTTAAAATCCTCTGCCGAGAAGTAGGAAAGATTAGGAAACACCGCACTGCGCGGGAAACGCTGCAGGATGTGTGTGTGTGTGTGTGTGTGTGTGTGCATGTTTTATTTCCTCAGAGTACTAAAACCTTGCTCCCTAGGAACCGGCAAAAGCCAGGTGGGCCGGGACGGGGGTGTCGGGGAGAAGTGGGCAAGGCAGTGTTTGGTTCCCACTCCGAGAAGGAAGTTTCCAGAAGGGAGGGAGCGGAACCTGTGTTTATTGCCAGAGTTTTCAGTTCTGCTGGTTTCGGCTGAGTCCCTCAGCTGCAGGAGGCGGGCGGCTCCCGGAGGCTCCCCCTTCCCTGCAGGAGGTGGTGATGACGGGCACCCTCTTCTCTAGACAAGGCCTCTGGAGACCCCCCAGGTCAGGCGGGCGGGCCTGGGGGTGCTGGGGGCCCCGGGTGGCCATGCGTGGAGGTGAGGGTTCCTGACAGACCCAAAGCCCGCTTTCCGCCTACAAGAGACGGCATGGGGCACACCTCAGCACGCTGTTTTCCTGTTCTGACCGGCGATGCTGTTTCCAGAAAGGCCCAATCAGGACAGAGAGCAGCCACTGCCGTGGGCACACCCAGCACCAGGACGGGGCCTGTCTAGACGTTTTAAAGAAATCCAGCCTCCTGTATCCTGGGAGGCCCTCTGGGTACCATCTGCATCTGTTCCACCTTCTTCCTGTCGGTGGAGTGAACAAAGAGGAGGAAGAAGGTGGAACCACCGGTGTGGCCCTAGGCTCCTGGCTGTGAGGACAGGGGAAAGGTGGCGGCCCGGAGCTAGCAGGCATTCTGGGTTACTTGTCCAGGGAGCAGCCTAAGCCGGCCGGCAGCTCTGGCCCCCAAGGTCAAGTGCGGTTCAGGTTTCTGGTTCATAAACTCACAGCGGTACCTGAATGTGTTTCGCTCAAGACAGGTGGGTAGGTTGTTTTCGCTTTTTAAAAAACAGGAGAGCTTATTTATGAGGTAAAAAAAAAAATATCTACAGAAAATCAATAAATAAAGGACAAGCCGTAAAACACCGAGTGGGATCACAACCATGCCAAAGGTCTGCCTAACACAGGTGTTTGTAAGGGATGCGAAGTGCTCACGGGCAGCCGGATTCTCCATGGGCAGTGCCTACGCCTAAATAAAAAGCATGCCGCAAAGAAATAAAAGCGACGCACCAACGCTCATAGCGATTCCCTTCTGCGGAAAACGCACCACGTTGCTGCTGCCGTTGCAGAAGGCGTAATTTTGAAGAAAAAAAACGCACCAAACCTTTGCATGTGTGGCCTGTGGCAGCCCCTGCGGGGAGCTGCGGGGTGTCCCGCCTTCTCTCCCAGGGGCATTTCTGCGATGAGGACTACACACCATACTGCACAGCTAGGTAGAACGGGGGGCGGGCGGGGGTGAGAGGGGGTGAGTGGGAGATGCACTTCCAACCAGCACCCCCACGGGGGCGTGGGATGCGATGCTGCTGGATGGATGTATAAAACCGCGTGGCCTGGGCCTGGGGGACCGAGTCCTGGGTCCCCACTGCTAATTAGAAAGAGGGGGTTGGGGAGGGAGGGGATGCCCAACGTTGGCACATTCAGGAGGTGACATAGTACACAGGGCAGGCCACCGCTGTCTTCTGAGCTGGCCGTCTGCAGAGCGGCTGAGCCTGGAGCAGCGCCAGGTGCTCGCTGAGGTCCTCGCCTTGTGCTTCTCCCTCCCCCCCCGGGGGGGGGACCCCAAGTGCTGAGGGGAGCCCTTCCCACGGGTGCATGAGTCGCTGCTGCAGGAGGAGCCAGTCTGATGCGAGGCTACCTCCCCTCCCCCATCTGCAGGGACAGGGCGCCAGGAGAATCCAGGCTGGGCCGTCGTGGGGGTGGGTGGGTCTTGGGGGCGCACGGGGTCCCCCGCCCGGCGGCCCGGCGCCCCTCAGTCCTTGTAGGCGCGCGTGGGGGACGTGCCCTTGTAGAAGATGTTCCGCGTGTGCTCGGGGCTGCCGCTGCGCTCGGGGATCAGGATGATGTTGCCCTTGCGGCGCAGCGTGGAGTCGCGCGAGGAGGACACGGACAGCGTCTCGGAGCCGCCCTCGCTGCCCTCCACGGGGGTGACGCGGATGGTGGCCACGCCGTGGTGGTGGAGGTGGTGCAGGTGCTCCCCGCCGCCGCCGCCCTCGATGTTGCCGCGCGGCCGGTCCGCGGCGCCGGCGGAGAGCCCGTCCCGCAGCGACTCGCAGCTTTCCGAGTCCCGGTTCAGGTCGTTGAGCTCGTAGGTCTGGCGGAGGAGGCTGGCCTTGTCGGGCGCCTTCCACTTCCAGGAGCCGCTGCCCTCGCCCTCGGTGGACGCGGGGATCTGGATGACGGGCCGGCTGTTCTCGGGGTGCGCCTCCACGCGCACGATGCCGCCGCCGCCGCCGCCGGGCTCCAGCTCCGCCAGCGCCTTGTAGCGCAGCGAGCCCCCGGCGCAGGGCTCGGCGCCCGCGGCCTGCAGGCCCTGCTGCTTGGACATGGCGATGACCTGCATGATGCGCGGCTGCCCGCCGCGGCCGCACGCCACGCTCTTCTCCGCCGCCTTCAGCCACTTGGCGCGCGCGGAGCCGCCGCGCGGGGAGGCGGCCCCGGCCTCGTGCGCCTCCTCGGGGATGTGCACGAGCTGCGAGGAGCCGGGGCGCGGCTGCAGGGACACGCGGGGCCCCCCGGGCACGCTGCTGTTGCCGGCGGCCGGCCCGGCGCCCGGCTGCACCTTGAGGTACGACGGGGCGCCCGGGCCGGGGTGCTCGCCGTTGGCGCCCACGCGCGCGGGCTCCGAGCCGGAGCGCAGCTCCACGGCGCGCGGCGGCGACTGGCCCGGCTCGGCCTCCAGCACCTGCAGCGCCAGCTTGCGGCTCTCGTTCTTGCTCTTCCACTGGCTCAGCAGCTGCTTGGAGCGCGCCGAGTCCATGGACGCGTGGACGCTGGCGTGGCGGCGCGCCGCGTCCTCCCCGGCGCCGGCCCCGGCCCCGGCCCCCGCGGGCGCGGCGCGGGGCAGCGTGTTGCTGAAGGTCACCAGGCCCTCCTTGCCCCGCGGGCTGCGCGGCGTGATGATCTCCACGTCGGCGGCGCCCGCGCGCTGCAGGCCGGACAGCGCGCCGGGGTCGCGGGCCGCGCGCGCCAGGAGCCCCTCGGTGTGCGCCACGCCGTCGCAGGCCCCCGCCTTGGCCGCCAGCGCGCCGCCCGCGTCCGGGTGCAGGTCCGCCCGCACGCGCAGCGCCTCCCGCTGCTGCAGGCTCTCCTCGCTGGGCAGGAAGTTCCCCACCGCGTACAGGCCCTGCGGGGCGGGGGACAGTGAAGGCGGGGAGGGGGGATGCGGGGGGCGGGGAACAGTGAAGACGGGGAGGGGGGTGCGGGGAGGGGGGATGCGGGGAGGGGTGGGTGCAGGGGAGGGGGGATGCGGGGGGCGGGGGACAGTGAAGACGGGGAGGGGTGGATGCGGGGAGGGAGAATGCAGGGGGTTTGAATGCGGGGAGGCATGAACGCGGGGAGGGGCGTGAATGCAGCGGGACAGGAGGCCACTGGGAACCCCCCACCCCCCAGGACCCCTGACCGCATCAGCGAGGTGCACGCTCTATGCACCGCAGACTAACACACACCCAGAAACAAGGAAAACCTGTTACTGGGGGAAACCAGTTACCGGGGAATGAATAGTGAGCAAGCTGTATCGCAAGCCACAGACTGTTCAGAAACATGGATCCCTTGAGTTTTAAAAATGTTGGGGGGTTAATCCTCACCTGAGGATGTTTTTCCATTGATTTTGCGAGAGTGGAAGGAGAGGGGGAGACACAGAGAGAGACAGCCGTTGCCTCCCCAGCCTGGGCTGGGTTTCCAGCTGCAGCCGAGGTGCGTACCCTTGGCCCATAGTGAGAGTTGAATAAAGCACTCGGCTGGAATTGGGCTGTGTGCTTTGGGTTAGAACGGAGAGGCAGCCGAAACCGGTTTGGCTCAGTGGTAGAGCCGTCAGTCTGTAGACTGAAAGGTCCCGGGTTCGATTCTGGTCAGGGGCATGTACGTTGGTTACAGGCACATCCTCAGTAGGGTGTGTGTGCAAGAGGCAGCTGGTTGATGTTTCTCTCGCATCGACGTTTCTAGCTCTCTATCCCTCTCCCTTTCCTCTCTGTAAAAAATCAATAAAATATATTAAAAAAAAGAAAAAAAGAAAAGAAGAAGAACGGAGAGGCAGCCAGGCCATGTGCCACGAACAGAAGCTCTTCACCGTGGACCCAGCCTGCGCGGGTTCTCCGTGCCACACGGAGACTCATCCCGCACGGACGGCGAGCCGCTCACCAGGTACAGCGCGATGCCCCCTCCCAGCAGGAAGCCGCAGTAGACGTCCACGGGGTGGTTCTTGTACTGCGTGATGCGCGTCAGGCCGCAGAGGACCCCGCAGATGACGAACGTGAACACCAGCAGCGGCTTCAGCAGCTTCGAGGAGTCCGTCAGCGTGGAGTTGAAGTACATCTGACGCCCGGAGGGGAGAGGTCAGGAAGGGGAGGGAGGGCATTTTCCTACGACATTTATCTCTATACACACGGGGTGGCCAGAGGATGATGCCCTCTGAACGCACAATCATCTGGCCACTCCCTGTCTGTCCTATAGAATGAAAGGCTAATATACAAATTGTCCCCTCCGCCAGGAGTTCCACCAGCAGGCAGGCTGGCCAACCGCCCCTGTCCCCTCCCCTGGGCCAGGCCCCTCGTCCTCTATAATGAAAGGCTAATATGCAAATTGTCCCCTCAATCAGGGGGCAGGGCCAGCCGGCCGACCACCCATGGCCCTGCCCCCCAGATGGGCCCCAGTCGGGGCAGGCCAGCCGGACCCCACCCGTGCACGGATTCTTGCACTGGGCCTCTAGTTCGTCGGCATTCCGGTTCATCTGTCTCATGAACCAGTGCACTAATGAGCAATGACGGCAACTCACAGTACAGCACTTGTCCAATCGACGCTGACTTAGAGCTCCCAGTTACAGGAACAAAGCAGCTCAAACTCGTGCGTGCGTGTGTGCGCGTGTGTAGATGTAACGGTTGCTTTCAGTTTTAGAATGTACGGCCTCCGCAGTCCTCAGCCCTCTCTCATGGAGCCCACTGTTCGGCTCAGGGATGCCAGGCCCAGTGGGTAACCCGGCTGCCCTCTCAGCCCGTCTCTAGCAGCCCCGGTTCCCGCTCTCGGGGCCCGTGTCAGAGGACTCTGTCGTTCCCCGGGGGCATGATGGACGGGGAGAAAGGCTCACTGCTGCCTTCTCTGGGGCATGGACCCCCAAGAAGCACCCGTTACTCACCGACACGTACACGGCGGCAAAGGCGGCGAGGGTGGCGTGCTGGGACGGGAAGGACTTCCTGCCGAAGGAACACAGCCCCGTTAGCCTCTGTCTCAGACCCACCGCCCACCGCCCACCGCCAGCGCGTGGCTGGATGTTCAGCACCCAGGCCACAGGCAGGAGCAGCGCCTTTCCGTGTCTGGTTTTCCGGGGAAACGTGAGCGAGGAGGGCACTGCGAACCGCCGGGCACTGAGGCCCATGGGACGCCCTGGCCCAGCAGGTGCTGGCCGTGCCAGGGTCACGTTCCTGCCCCACGGCAACGACAGCGGGAAGCAGACAGGGACGGGAAGACTTTCTGACTGCTGTTTGGCATCAGGATGATGCCGGTGGAAAGCCAAAGCTCATAAAGCCTAGGACTTTAAAGCTTCCCATTTTTTTTTCTTTTCCTAAGTTCCTAAATTAAGGTGACCAGACGGCCCACTTTTGGTGGGACAGTCCCGATTTTTCCCCCCAAAAAAATCAACAATTTGTCCCGTGTCCCGCGGCGTTTTTTTAAAAACGTCCCGATTTTTTCCCCAAAAAATCCGGGCTCTCGGCCGCCCCTGCCTACCTGCCGCTGTTGATGACGGTGAGGTCGGAGCCGGAGCAGATGTCCTCCACGATGTAGGAGTTCTCCTTGCAGGACACGTTGAGGGAGGTGTAGTTGGGCTTGCACACGGTCAGGAAGTAGGGCGCCTGGTAGCCCGTGGACAGCTGGATGATGTCCGTGATGAGGGCCGTGGAGCACAGGCCAAACACGTGGACACCTGTGTGCGGGCGGAGGGCGGGGCTGTCACCACCGGCCTCCCAACCTGCTGCCATTGCTCCCTCTGTTTCGAGGAGATCATAGAGGGCACCCCTAACTTCTAACCAGACGCCTAAGGGCAAGAGAATGGCAGCGAGGATCTCACAAGGAGCCATGGGAGGGACTGCAGTCAGGCTGGTTCAGTAAGGCCAATTCCCAATAGCATTCACCCTGGGACCCTGTCCCCAGAGAACCGGGAACATGTGGAGGTGACATGTGCGGCTCTTTGGCCCCTCGCGGGTGGCTCTTCCACAAAACACCACGGCCCAGGTGAGTCTATGCTGAAGAAGTGGCGTTAGAAGAAGTTTAAGTTTAAAAAGTTTGGCTCTTGCCCTAACGGGTCTTGCTCAGTGGATAGAGTGTTAGCCTGTGGACTCAAGGGTCCCAGGTTCAATTCCGGTCAAGGGCATGTGCCTTGGTTGCGGGCACATCCCCAGTGGAGAGTGTGCAGGAGGCAGCTGGTCCATGTTTCTCTCTCATCGATGTTTCTAACTCTCTATCCCTCTTCCTTCCTCCCTGTAAAAAAATCAACAAGATATATATTTTTTTAAAAATTAAAAAGATAAAAAATGTGGCTCTCAAAGGAAATGTCAATCGCTGTACTGTTGATACTTCGCTCTGTTGACTAATGAGTTTGCCGACCAGCAGTCTAGGCCCTGATCCAGACCAGACTTCCCCTTCGGTGCGGGGGGACCTGGGCCTGTGAGATGGCAGGTTGCAGGTTCAATAACTTCCTCCTGACTTACTGGGGATGGATGTACCGCGTTCATGTCGGTGTGATGAGCCGTGGCTTCCCTTCCCAACCCACTTACAGATAAAAAAAGACCTGTGACTCAAAGGACACTAAGAGGTTTCCATGACAACCAGGAGAGACGGAGGTGTAGATGCTGATTTGATGCAGAAGCTGGCTAGCCAGACTGGTGGGTTTTCTGTGGGGCTCGGAGAACAGAGGAGGGGGACTGGGAGAGGGTAGCCAAGGAGGAATAGTGACGATGCAGTGCTGGAAGGTGGCACCTGATGTGCAGGACTTTCCCAACAAAGACATTGTAGGACAATCGACACAGAATCACTGATGTGACCACAGTCATTGCTGAGGAGCCGTTCGTCCCTACTGGCCTGCTGACACGTATTCTCACTTTAAAAATGTACACAGCCCAGCTGGTGTGGTTCAGGGGTTGAGCATCAACCTATGAACCAGGAGGTCACGGTTCGATTCCTGGTTAGGGCACAGGCCTGGGTTGTAGGCTTGATCCCCAATAGGGGGCGTGCAGAAGGCAGCTGAGCAATAATTCTCATCATTGATGATTCTCTCTCCCTCTTTCTTTCTCTCTCTCTCTCTCTCTCTCTCTCTCTCTCTCTCTCTCTCTCTCTCTCTGAAATCAATAACAGTATATTAAAAAAAAATGAACACAGACCCAATGGAACCATTTTAAAGTAAACACATGCTTCCCAGAGCTCAGACAAAAACACGCTGACATGCACATGCTAATGTCTGTCAGTAAACGGAACCCTTCTGTCGGAAACCACCGGACTCCCTCTCCCTGAGGCTCGCACACTCACCGACGAAGCGGACGGCTCTCCTGAGGAAGGAGTTGAAGTTGCAGCCGCCGGCGTTGATGTTGGGCTCCAGGCCCAGGCCGCTCCTCCGCTTGGCCAGGCAACAGTAGAGGATGCCCTCGCCCACCATGATCTGCCAGGACGAGAGGGGCCGGTGGGCGCCTGGGCTGAGCGAGGCGCAGAGGCCTCTTCTCCGCGGCCGGGCCCCCAGGGAGGGCATCGCGCACTCTCTGAGCTCCTGCTGCTGGCCCAGGGCGTGATGGCATGTGGCAGCACCAGTCCTGGCCTGTTGCTCACCAGCACCCAGTGACTCCTGACCCACGAACCCCCCGGGGGCGGGTTCTGCCCTGATTCTTGAAATCTTGGCCCTTTGCTTCTCTGCCCCGGAAAACAAGATGCCCGCGGGGAGAGTAGACTAGGCACCGGGGAGGGTCAGGGGTGCTTACCAGCAGATTACGGCAACGAAGCAGCCGGGATGGCTCAGGAGGGTCTCCCCACAGAGAGCATGTGCGAGGGGGAGCAGGGTGCTGCCCGCACAGAGTGGCCTGCGGGAGTTTCTGCGGCCTGCATGCACCCTTCACCCTGCGCCTGCCCCCGGCGGGGCGCTGCCCACTGCGGGGCCGCTGCCCACTTGTGCTGGCTGAGCACCTGGGGTTCAGCCATCGCAGCTGAGGGGCTCGGTTTTAATCTCATTTCATCGTATTTAATTATTTAAAATGTAAGGCGATCTGGATTTCTTTTATTTTCCAAAGTTCACCTTCCCTGGGGGATTCTCGTTGGCTAGTTACCCTGGAGTCTGGGCTGTTGGTCACTCCGTATGGGGAAGCAAGATCTGAAATCATGAGTTTCATTTGTTAAAAAAAAAAGATCTAAAATATTTGGGGTCACTGTGCCTGAGAGATTGATGGATTTGGGGTCACTGTGCCTAAGAGGTTGTTGGGTTTGGAGTCACTGTGCCTGAGAGGTTGTTGGATTTGGGGTCACTGTGCCTAAGAGGTTGTTGGATTTGGGGTCACTGTGCCTGAGAAGCTGTTGGATTTGGGGTCACTGTGCCTGAGAAGCTGTTGGATTTGGGGTCACTGTGCCTGAGAGGTTGTTGGATTTGGGGTCACTGTGCCTAAGAGGTTGTTGGGTTTGGAGTCACTGTGCCTGAGAGGCTGTTGGATTTGGGGTCACTGTGCCCGAGAGGTTGTTGGATTTGGGGTCACTGTGCCTAAGAGGTTGTTGGATTTGGGGTCACTGTGTTTAAGAGGCTGTTGGATTTGGGGTCACTGTGCCTAAGAGGCTGTTGGATTTGGGGTCACTGTGCCTAAGAGGTTGTTGGGTTTGGGGTCACTGTGCCTAAGAGGTTGGATTTGGGGTCACTGTGCCTAAGAGGCTGTTGGATTTGGGGTCACTGTGCCTAAGAGTTTGGATTTGGGGTCACTGTGCCTAAGAGGTTGGATTTGGGGTCACTGTGCCTGAGAGGTCGTTGGATTTGGGGTCACTGTGCCTAAGAGATGGTTGTGAAATTAGAACTGACTTGTGTAAACGTGCAGATCTGAGAGAAGTAGAATACATGAGATACCGGCAGCCCTTCAGTGTAAGTGGTCATGTCCCTTTAAAAGGATTACGACCATGGTCAGGGCTGAAATAGATTCTTCCAGGGAGACGTCCCAGTTCCAGGTCTGAGCATACATTTTATGAACTATTTAAGGTGACAGGCTTTAAAGACTCGTGATAGGGACCCCATGGCCTCCTGCTTCCAATGTTCGCTCTGCTCCATTTAATTCTGTAGGTTCTGTGGGATCTGCATTTGTACAAAAATCAAGTTCCTTAATGAGACTCTGCCAGGAACCACATGTGTGTGAAGATCATGAGGCACATGCGCTAGGCTTTTAAGGTCACTCACAGAGAAATACTCAAAAGGATTTTTTTCCGCCCAAATCACTGAGCGTTGAGTTCATTATACGTCTTGAAAAATATCATCCTACGTTGTCTCTTTAAGGTAGGCACGGAGACACAGAAGGCTCTGTGTTCTGCCTGGCGCCCCACGCGCACGGAGGAGCATAACAGCTGTCTCAAACTGATCATCGCGAGAAAACCACCCACTCGTTCCCGAAACGCATCGTCGTGGGGCTGAGAGAGACTGAGTCATTTCCACTTCTTCAATAACAGTTCTGTGGGTCGTTTTGTTTCTTTCTTTTTAATCGCATCTGCACTGATGATGCACTTCTTCTCGGCGAATGTGAGGTTACATAAGAACTTGCTGGAACAACGCCATGCGGGATGGCGTCTCACCACACAGCACAGCAGCCCTTATCTCCAGCGGCCTTGGGGGTTCAGGGGTTTTCTGTTAGAGCTGCTTGATATGCTGAAGCGCCTGTGTCAACACCACTCTCTCCGGCTATTCGGCTTGAGTATAGATAGAGTGGTGTGTTGTTGTTTTTAACCTTTAAATTTTACTTTATCTTATTATTTTTAGAGAGAGTGGAAGGGAGGGGAAGAGACAGAGAGAAACATCGATGTTAGAGAGACACGTTGATTGGTTGCCTCCAGCAAACACCCTAACCAGGGATGGAGCCTACAACCAAGGCATGTGCCCTGGATTGGAATCGAACCCGGGACCCTTCAGTCCACGGGCTGATGCTCTAACCACTGAGCCACCGGTCACCAAACCGCGGCTCGCGAGCCACATGCGGCTCTCTGGCCGCTTGCGGGTGGCTCTTCCACAAAATGCCACGGCCTGGGCCAGTCTATGTTGAAGAAGTGGCATTAGAAGAAGTTTAAGTTTAAAAAATGTGGCTCTCCAAAGAAATGTCCATCGTTGTGCTGTTGACATTTGGCTCTGTGGACTGATGAGTTTGCCGACCACGGCACTGAGCCAAACCAGCTAGGGCTTTTGGTTCACATTTTGACATCACCTAACGGTCCCTTTCTCTAAGAACATCAACGTTTTTCTCACGCTTCCATTCACCCTTGGTCTCTCTGTCACTGCATGGATTTTCAGATGATCTAATTCGGTTTAAAGACGGACTTCTCCTTGGGGGGGGGGAAGGGGGGGGAGCTTCCTGATGTGTCCTAGACGCGTCTGCCTGTGTCCATGCCATTTCTCAGGGCTCAAGAAGGAAAACGTTGACCCAGAATCCCCAGGAAGCACCCTCCCACGGCATATGAAGAACTTCTCATGGGAAGCGAGGGAGCCAGAGAAGCAGAAGCACAGAGAGGAGGCCGAGGTCCCTGTCCCCAGTCCATGGAAGTGTCGGCAAAGGGAGGGAGGGAGAGGCATGGCTCTGGGTGGGCGGTGGAGATACAGTTAGACTTGCTTTCCTCACTGCCGGGGAGAAAGACTCGGATACAGAAAAGCAACTTCCTCAGCTGGGAATACACTGTATCAAAAGCAGCCTTTGGGGCAGGCTCGTGGACACACAAACCCATCGACAAATCTGTGCATTGCGCCCCAAGCAGGAGACACGCCTCCCGGTGCAGTCGCGTGGAAGCGTATATTCGTTTTGCTCCGAAAGAAGGAGGGGCGGATGGCGCTCCCGTAGGCCCTTACAGAAGGGGCAGGGAAATAATGTGGTGTCGCACTTCAAACGTGTCCTGTTCGTCCGAGTCTCAGCTCCTTGCAAATGCCTCGTTAGTCCCCGGCTCGCAGGAGTCCCTGGCGCCCCAGCAGCTCATCGATTTTCTAAGTGTTTTGCGATCTTCTAAGCGTGATGAGGTTCTCTGGGAAATTAGGTTCTAATTCCATCCGCGGAGAGCGTTTGGTATGATTTATGTGCAGTGCAAATAGCACGTTATGATTATTAATGTGGGGCCGTTTTTAGAAAACAAATTCACAGCCGGTGCGAGCGCAGACCCTGGAAGGTCAATGCCGGGACTCTCCTAAAGCTGCTAACGAGCCGAACCAGGGCGGCCCCCTCGTTAGGAGAGGGGTGCGGGCCGCTCACAGACACAGCCCCGCCCCCCGCGGCCCTGAGCAGGAGGAACGCAGTCAGCTCCTCCTCCAGAAAGAATAGGACCAACCTGGGAACGTATTTGTTGTCCTGTAATTAGGATTCTGGGGGCGCAGAAGATGGGGGAGCGTTGGCCAGTCCTATTTATGAGTGAGTTTATAAAAAATCATGCTACTGCCCTGGCTGGGTGGCTCAGTGGCTTGGTGCATTGACCCAAAAGACTGCAGGTTCGATCCCTGATCAGGGTGTGTACTGGAGATTGATGTTTGTTTGTTGTTGTTTTTTTTCTCACATCCTTTCTCCCTCTCTCTCTCTCTCTCTCTCTCTCTCTCTCTCTCTCCCTCTCTCTCCCCCCCGAGTCTCAGCTCCTTGCAAATGCCTCGCTAGTCCCCGGCTCCCTTGGTCTTCAGCCCCTCCTTCCTCTCTCTCTCAAATGAATAAACATATACTCAGGTGAGAATTAAAAAAAAAAAAAGAGTGTTATTCACAACGTGTCTGTTAGCAACCTAGAAAGAACTCCACTTTTAATTCTGTTCCAGCAGGGGGGGGCATTTCTTTATGTTACATATTTTTATTTTTTATTTTTGTTTAAATATATTTTATGTTACATATTTTTATTTTTTATTTTTTTATTTTTGTTTAAATATATTTTATATGTTACATATTCTTAAATGCAAGCGCCTGTTCTGCGTCTGAAGCATTTTCTCTCTGTGTGTGTGTGTGTGTGTGTGTGTGTGTGTGTGTCACATGAGCTATGCCCTCTTTAGAGCTGGTGGCCACAGAGCTCAGAACCAGTGAAAAGTGCCAATCAACTGGAAAGGGAAATGCTAAGAGATGGCAGCATGCCCCTTTGAGGAGAGGGTCTAACCTGTTGGCTACACAGTTGCCTGCTTTCCCTGCGCCGTCCACACTCCGATGCCCACTCGCACGTGGGAAATGCGTGAATGTCGAACCAGAAGCCCCAGGCCAGCCACTCAGGGTTAAGCACTTACAGGCCTTTCCCCGAAACGATTTAGAAACCGTTATTGAGCCTTCCTGTGTGCAACCACATCCCCTTTAATTATCCACGCCGGTGGTCTTAAACCCGGTGCATTCCCACGTGATGCCGTCCAGGCCTCAGAGACGCCCTCCTCCGGGCCTGGGGCTGGGATTCGCTTTCCTTTGCTTTGAGCCCATTGGCTGCGCCGGCGTGGGCCTCCGCATGCAGGGTCTGGGTCCGACCCCCCAGGCTGGGGCCATGCTCACTCACCGTGATGGCGGGCCCCGCGAAGGCCAGGCTCAGCAGCATGAGGAGCGGGATGGCCTCCTGGGTGGGCTCGATGTAGGGCATGCTGAGGCTGCGGTCATAGCAGCTGAACCCCGAGTGCACCGGCTTGAACACGTCCGTGAGCTCCAGGAAGTACAGGCTGACCACCGACGAGGCCAGGATCGGCAGCTGGGGGGAGGGACACGGGCCGGGTGACGCACACGCAGGTCACACACGGAACCTGCGCCGTGAAGCAGGAAACAAGCGTGTCCTCTTCCCCCCCCCCCCTCCCATCCCCACCCCCGCCCCAGTCTGTCCAGCTCGGAGCTCACGTCAGTCATGAGCACTATTGCCTCTGCCTTCAGCCACATGCCAGCTGGGAGGACAGTGCACGCGTGTGAGTCTCACTGTTGTTGTCATGGCTGTTCAAACAGTCAATGACACGCTCATCCCTTCTCAGAACTTCCCCTGGCGACCCTCAGAGGGACTTCCTCCCTCCTGAACCCCCGCCGGCCCTGTGAGGGAGTTCCTGGGCCCTTGGTCTTCCCGCCAGGCCTGGGGCGGGCTAGCTGCAGTCTTGGCCCCGCTTCCCACCTAAAACTCTCCTGAAGGCTCGGGCCTGATCGCGCCATTTCTGTATTTCCGCAGTGACTGTACACCAGAGAGCCTTCCAACACATGTGCACATACACCGAGTGGCCAGATGATGGTGATCTCTGAGTGCATTATCATCTGGCCACTCAGTGTATGTCCTATAGAATAAAAGGCTAATATGCAAATTGTCCCCTCCACCAGGAGCCAACCACCTATGTCTCCTCCCCCTGGCCAGGCTGGCCGGACCCCACCCACGCACGAATTTATACACTGGGCCTCGTGTGTGTGTGTGTGTGTGTGTGTGTGTGTGTGTGTGTGTGTGTATTGAGTGGCCAGACTATTATGCGTTCAGAGATCATAATAACTAGCCACTCAGAGTATACATACAAGAATTTAACATCTGAATGAAATAATTTCCTTCAGTAAAGCCTCTGCTGGAAACTGCCAGTTTCCCAGATACACCATTTTCCCACCTTTCATTTATTTTCAAACTAGGAATCACATTTTTTTCTTCCTTTCTGATGTCTGCTTCTCTAACTTGTCTTAAAAAGTCTCTTTTACTCTGTCTTTTATATCAACTTGTTCCTAAGAGTGAATTTGAACGAAATATTTGTACCGCTTGGGGAAAAACGATTTGATCCATTGCTTTCCTGTGCCGTATCTTATGCTGGACAGTGTAATGAATTAAATGACAATGTTTACCTCCAACATATATATCTTCAAAGACAATCTTTCATCTTTGAAATGCTCAATAGCAGAACTTCGGAAATTTCGCAGATGGTATGTGCAAAATTTGTAGTAGATGTGCTCGCAATAAAATCATACCGGCATCTTTCCATTGCACTTAGATGAGATTTAAGAAGTCTTTTAAAGAGGCCTATGGAATCGCGCATTCGGAATTTCATCCTCTACTTGAGCTGTAGTCACGGAAAAAAGGATGGGCCACACTGTGTCTCTGCACTAGTACAGGGGAGGAAAATTACCTGGACTGGAAACCAGTTTCAGAAAGACTGACTCTTATAATTACCATCTGCTCAGGACTCGTGAGCAATAATAACAGAGCACTCTGTAAAGAGAACACTGGAGCAGTCTTCGAGAACAGGGACAATAAAAGAAATGCAATCCAAACGATTACATTTGCTAGATAAGACTGATTTTTTTTACACCAATTTTATTATTATTATTATTATTATTATTTTATAATTTAGGGTGAAGGCGTGGTCCATTTTATTTTATTATTCTTTCTTTAATCCTTACCTGAGGATATAGTTTTACTGATTTGAGAGTGAGAGAAACATAGGGTATCCCCCAAAATGTATACACACTTTAATAACTGATAACTCCCTTAATTTTCACTCCCTTTCAGGTTTAACTGGTTTGAAATATTGGGTGAAGCCAGGCTCTAAGCTTTGAACAAAGAAAACTTGTCCTAACGGGCCGGCTGACTTTTTTCTCTTTATGGGGGTACCTAAGCGATAACGGTCACCCTGCCAAACCGGCCGCCGCTGAGGAACAGAGGGCACCCAGATACCGAACACAAAGTAATTTCTGATGTTCGCGATGCCGTTGCTTCCGTCACCCGGAGCCTGGACCACATGTCATCCTCCGAAAACAGGTGTCCCCCCAGCCCCCCAAAAAAGTTCATTTCTGCAGGTTCTCTCGCGTGTTGAAAATGAGCTGTGTGCTCATAAACACCGGCTTTAGAATCACTCAGAGTGGGCACACATTTTGGGGGACGCCCTGTATTTCCTGGGTGGACACCCTGGTTTATCTTTTCTTCAAAGGCATTGGTTTCCACCCATACGGCCTAGTGTCAGTCTTAGAAGCATGTGCAGCCCGTGAGAAGGAAAAACACCTCAGCATGGACTGGGTCCCAACGAGCACGTCTGCCCTTGGCCCCCCGTGTTCCAGCACTCACGTCACCACGAGAAAGCCGCCCCATTCCGCAGTTACAGGGAGAATAAGTTCTCAGCTACTTTATTCTAGAAGAAGCCATAGAAAGCGGGACTGGTTGTTAGAAACTTCAGCTCCAACCCATCCTTTCTTGTGACCAGCATGGGGGGGGGGAGTCCTGGGACCCCCCGAGCCTGTTAGCAGAGGCCATAGCTCCTCCTGGGCTGGGTTTGAGGATCCGGTGAGAGAATGTGTGTGAGCACATGACATTAAACTGCCACGGGAAATGCGAAGTTATTTTACTACGAATGATGTGAATGACAGTCTAACCTCCCCAATGTTACTGCTTTCCGCTCCTGTCTGTCAGAGACCTCCTGTCAGGGGAAGTGATGGTGGGATTCCTGGCGGGCTGATCTCCTGAGGTTAGCTGGGCACGTGGTTCTCACAGAGCCCAGCCATGGGGAAAGCAGGAGGGCCCCTCAGAGCCGCTTCAGCGTGTGACTGACTGCCATGTGCTGCCGGGAAGCACGGGTGCTGGGTGTCTGGGTCAAGCTTCGCACAGCGGCCCGATGTGCTCACGTGTCGCAGGAGAATGACGTGTACTCTGAGCATGGTGATCCGGGGGAGCTTTCTAATGGACGGGATTCTAGAGATGCTCCTGGTTAGGCCCAGCCATGACCCGGAATCAACTCTCTCCCCAGGTGACTGGTTAACTTTTTCAAGCCCTCACCTGCTCATTCATGGTGAAAAAAAAAAAAAAAAAAAAAAGGAGCAAAGGAGATGTTCTGATTTCAGCAGACTTCACTCTGGAGTGGGGCACTGCCTCTTTTTTTTTCAAGAGAGGCTGTTTGAGCCCTAACTGGTGTGGCTCAGTGGATAGAGCGTCGGCCTGTGGACTGAAAGGTCCCAGGTTCGATTCTGGTCAAGGGCATGCACCTGGGTTGCAGGCACATCTCCAGTGGAAGGTGTGCAGGAGGCAGCTGGTCCATGTTTCTCTCTCATCGATGTTTCTAGCTCTCTATTCCGCTCCCTTCCTCTCTGTAAAAAATCAATAAAATATATTAAAAAAAGAGAGAGGTTGCTTGAGACATAGCCTGGGTGGCACTCAAATATGCTGTGATATTGGTAACACGCTTCCAGCGTAAACAGGAACGATTGCGCCTCAGATACTTTTTTGGTTGTTGTTTTGCTTTAAAAAATATATATTTTTATTGATTTCAGAGCAGAAGGGAGATGGAAAGAGAGATAGAAACATCCATGATGAGAATCGTGGATCGGTGCCTGGGGCACACCTGCCCCCCTCCCGCCCCCGAGCCCCGGAGATCCAGCCCCCAATCGGGGCATGTCCCCTGGCCTGAAATTGAACTGTGACCTCCTGGGTCATAGGTCAATGCTCAACCCTGGGCCACCCTGGCCGGGCTTCTTTTTTTTACTTTTTATTTTTAGAAATACTTTTTATTTTTATTCCCATCGTCCTCATTATCATTAACCTCCGTCTGAGGCCTGTGTTGAAGTTTCAGGGGGACCATTCGCAAGCCAGGCCTGTGGCTGTTCCCCGCACCCCGAGACACAGGCCCCTCCCACGCCACGGATGCTCTCAGGGAGCGGGGCGTCCTCGGAGGGCAGCCGCCCGGTCAGGCGCATGCGTGGTGCGGGGTCCGACCCGAGGAGAGGAGCAGCTTCCAGCGCTGTTCCTGCCTGAGGCACCTCGTGAACTGAGAACGTTTTAGACGCAGGGCCTGCCCTCCCGGTCCAGGTGCCTCCGAAGTGCACGCCTGGGCCCCGCCAGGGCTCAGCGCTCACCCGGCTGCGGCCCCTCGCTGGGGGCGAGGGGAAGGGGGCATTTTCCTGGAAGCCCGGGCTCCGAGGCTCCCATCCGCCTGCAGCAGCTCTGGCTGACCTCCCTGTGCTCTGCTCGGGGGGTGGGGGAGAGATGGGCCCCCACCATCAACCTGACCCCTCCAGACTCAGGGAGTGTGTCCGGACGGGAACGAAAGTGCCTTCCCACCAAACAGCGGGCCAGGCAGGGTTTAACCCAGAAGCAGGTACCATCCTTCCACGCTTACCCTTTTATAAAGAATGTTTCATTCATTCCAGAGAGAGGAAGGCAGAGGGAGAGGGAGAAGGAGAGAAACATCCATGAGGAGAGAGAATCATGGGTCGGCTGCCTCCCGCACGCCCCCTACTGGGGATGGAGCCTTCAACCCGGGCCTGTGCCCTGACCGGGAATCGAACCCTGACCTCCTGGTTCCTAGGCCGACACTCACCCCTGAGCCACACCGGCCGGGCCCTCTGCTCTGTTCACTGGGGCATCTTCTGCTGCCCACACGTGTCTTTAGGAAATTATTATCTTTTGGTAAAATCGCCTAAAGCACGACCCTACAGTCCCTCATCGGAGGAGGAAGGGCGGCAGTGAGTTACGTTAAATAAACAGGACAATTTCTTTGCCCCCAGGGCGGTGGGTGAGGGTCTGCCTTCATTCCTCTGGCACTTTATGCAAACCACTCTCATCTGCCTTCACAGCGAATCCCCTGAACACCGTCTGTGACTCCGGAGACAGCACTTGCAAACGCACTGTTTCCCGAAGACAGCGTGACCGATTCCTCCCTGCCCCCGCCACCGACAAGCCTCCCGGTAACGAGCACAGGGTCTGCCATCTGTCCTCGCTGCGCAGCCTCCATATTTGGCCGAGCTGCTGGCGGCGGCGGGGGACGTATAATTCAGCACCATCTTCCCTCCGCCATGCAGCGCCGGCTCTGAGCACACAGAGCACAGCGAGGCCCTCGCCACCGCATTCCCTCAGCCGAGCACCGCATCTCTCCCCGCCTGCCCTGCCACCGGAGCAATGGCTCCCCAGAGACTGCACCTGTCAGTCTCCAGGGCCCTCCCCCTCCCTTCCCGCTCCCCTCCCCTCCGGTCCCCCCCCCCCCACCCAGGGCACTGCATCCCGGTGAGTGAGGCTCCTTAGGAGTACCCGCCCGCAGGTTCACTGCTCCTCTACTCCTGCTCAGGACAAATGCACTGGGACAGACCTCCTAAGACCGGATGATGTCACCTTTCCCACACATGCGTGCACACAGGCATAGATGTGTGCATGCAGGCAGAGATGTGTTCATACAGGCATAGATGTGTGCATGCAGGTAGAGATGTGTGCACACAGGCATAGATGTGTGCATACAGGCATAGATGTGTGCATGCAGGCACACTGTCCATGTATGTGTGTGCGTGTGCATGCATAATTTTTTTGCTAACCATGGGAAAGGTTAGCCAGCGGGTTGATGCTGAGAGGGCAGGCCGGTGTCAGAAGCAGACGGGAGCACTGTGGTGGCTAAGCCAGGGGAAGGCTTTTACAGTCTGTGGGTATTTGGGGTGATAAAGCCCTGTACACGCCCTGGGGAGGGGGGATGGCTGTGTGCCTCTGAATTCCTGATCACACCCAGCAGAATCCTAGGGGCACCGCGAAGGCTGTGCCTGCACAAACCCCGGAGTACGGGCCCCGTGGCCCCTGCGAGCCGGAGGCTGGAGGCTGTGCACACAGACAGGGGGCCGGGAGCAGCCGGGCACTCACACAGGTACCTCCTCCCGCAGCCCCCCGCGGCGGGGATGGGGGGAGGGGAGGATGATGACGGCGGGGGGGGGGGGAGGTGGTCCCAGGCACACCGGGCTCCCCGAAGGTGGGGGGAGGGGAGGGGATGGGCACCCCGGGGCGCGCACACGGCACCGGCCCAGTCCATCATCCCCGGAGCCGCGGGAGGAGCCGCCGGGAGGGCCGCCCGGCCCGGCCACCTACCTCCACGAAGTAGAAGCAGGGCAGCAGGGTGACGCTGTCCTTCACCACCTTCCCCTTCGGCCGCTCCTTCGCCGACATCCCGCCGCCGCGTCCTCCGGGCGAGGAGCTCCGCGGGCAGAGGAGCCGCCTGCGCCGCCGGCTGATGTCACATCCCAGCTCCCCGGCCGCAGCGCCCGCCGGTCCCGCCGCCTGTCTCCCCGCCGCCTGTCTCCCCGGTCCCCGCCGCCTGTCTCCCCGCCGCCTGTCTCCCCGGTCCCCGCCGCCTGTCTCCCGCCGCCTGTCTTCCCGGCCCCCGGTCCCCCGGTCCCCGCCCCGGTCCCCGCCTCTCCGTGCGCCCTCCCAGCTCAGCCCGCGCCCCGATCCTCGCGGAGAGGCCCGCTCCGGCTCCAAACTGTTGCTGCAATGGCCCCGGCTCCCGCCTCCCTCCTCCTTCCTCTCCTCCTCCCTCCCCCTCCTCTTCTCTCCCTCCTTCTCTGCCGGTGGGAACCTGACGTCAGGACCCGAAAGGGGTGCGCCCCGGATTCTGCAGCTCCGCGCCTGCCTGCAAGCGCTGGCCTCAGGGTGCGGGGCGCACAGCCTGGCTCCCCGCCCCCACCAGCCGGCACCCCCACCAACCACCGGGCGGAGACCCAGGTGCGCGCATGCCCGTGTGCCCCTGTGCCCTGGCCGGAATGGAATGGTGACCTCCTCGCTCATAGGTCCGTGCTCAACCTCTGAGCATGCCGGCGTTTGTGCGTGTGTGCGTGTGTATGTGTGTGTGTGTGTGTGTGTGTGTGTGTGTGAGGGGGGGGAAGTGGTGTGGGGGATCCTATTTTCCTTATTTTGCAGGGCGCCCCGAACACTCGGTGGGCTGTGCCTGTCGCTCACTATACTCTCTTGTTCCCCCCCTGGCAGGAGTGGTCGGAGGAAGCACATGTGTCACCTCCATCCTGTTCCCCCTTCCCCCCTTCCCCTCTGGGCCTCATGCTCAGACGCCCCTGGCCCTGGTGCTCCGGGCCCACAAACTGTGTTCCGTCTCCAGCGTGGTGTTCAGGGCTGCCCTGGCCCACCCTCCGCCAGTCTGTCCACCTCACTCCCCGTTCTTCCTTTCATGGATGCGCATGCGATTGGGGGCGATAACTCGGACCCGTAGTCCCAGCGAGGGTGCCGCCTCAGACTGGGCAGGTGCCCCTCACGGGAGAATCGGAGCAGCCCCCCCTGAGCTTGCCTTGGCTTGGGGGGATCCGGGGGCAGCAAAGGGGCAGCACAGCTTCCGAGTCTCTCTCCTGGCACAGGGTGTGGTGACCACCAGCCGCTGGGGTCCTTGGCTGCGAGCACGGATGGGGACTGAGCGGCCAGGGCCCAGTCCAGGTTGCTTTATAACCGGTGTTCTGGGGACACCCGTTTCCTCCGGAATGCAGCTCAGCGGTTGAGCATTAACCTATGAACCAGGAGGTCACGGTTCAATTCCTGGTCATGGCACAGGCCGGGCTGGGGTCTCCATCCTCAGTGGGGGGTGTGCAGGAGGCAGCCGGTCCATGACTCTCTCTCATCATGGATATTCCCCCCCCCTCTCTCTTTCTCTTCCCTTCCTCTCTGACATCAATAAAAGATATTTCTTAAAAAAGACTTGACAGACGTGCAAACTCTCCCCTAATATGCCATAAACGGCAGCAGAGCAATATTTTTAATACCACATTTAAAATTCAGACATCCACCTGCCTCTGCAAATGTTATTCAGAGAAAAATTTTAGGCTTTGAAATGTCATCAAATGGCAAGAGCCACGTGACACAGATAGCTTTCGTTTGTTCAGTCTGTGCTAAGTTCTCCCAAAGGTGCTCACAACGGCCGGCCGATGAGAGTGAACGATCCGGTATTTCACGGGGAAGCAGCTGGAAGCCGGGTCTCCATGCCATTGGGACACAGACACCAACTGGTATGTGATTAGCAAGGAACATGCTGGGCTTGGTGAAAATAACAGTGTGTCCCCTTGTTGGCCAGTTACCAGCATGCCGAGCCCTGGCCGGGTGGCCGAGTGGGCTGGGCCCTGGTCCCATGCACCAAGAGATGTCGAGTTGGGTTCCAGAGAAATGTCTCTGACGTAGGAGTAGAAGGAGCGCTATAAAACCAGAATTATTTCTTTTTGGAATTGGCTCCTCAAGGCTAAGTGGAAATGTATACATCTGTGCCAAATCTAGAGGAAAGGCCAAAATTCTTTAACCTGTGAAACAGGAAGCAGAGGCATGGACACAAGGGCTGTGACACAGACATCACTTCATGCTTCTTTAGGGTTAAAATTCACTACGTTTAACACTGTGAACCCAACCAGCGTTAACGCCCCCCCAGGAGGAGGCACTGATCCTAACGAATTAAAGCCAGTAGTTCACATCGCCCACGTCCCATCCTGGATTGCGTGTTGGGACCTGATACCACACAGCGAGAGTCCAGGGGGTGACCAGTGACCCCCGTCCTCGGGGAGGGCACGTCTCTCGCGCGCTGGGACCCGCCGTGAGCGGTGGTGTGGATGGGCCGGGCGCGCCCCCTGGGTGGCGGGCATCACAGCCTGGCCCGCGGTGGCAGCCCAGGTCCAGAAGCGGGGCCACCAGCTCGTGGGCACTGAACGCAGACCGAGAGGGAGCCCCGTCCATGCCGGCAGACCACGGAGCGCAGGCCGGACCGCCAGCTGCCGCTGGAGATTGGAACGACTCATCCCGCAGCCGGCGCTGTGCCCGCTGCGGGCGGCTGCCCAGATATTGGCCGTCCAACCTTCCTCCTTCTTCTCCGAGCCCCGCTTCTCTGGCGATGCCCGGAGATTGTCTCACAGCCTCAGAGCACATCCCTTCCTGCTGACACCGGCTGGACGCCGGTTCCTGCTGCTGGTACCCGGGGACTCTGACGGGCGCCCTGGGACTGAGACGGGATGTCAAAATTTGAGGGCATTTTTATTCCCAGTCATTTATGTCATGTCATGACCTGTCTTCTGTTCAAAGTGGCTAGTACACAGGGGAGCAAAGGCCGGTTTCCAGTTGTGAGCGTGCAGAAACACAGTTTATTCTGGTATTATTATTTATTTTATTTTATTTTAAAATATTTTATTGATTTTTTTACAGAGAGGAAGAGAAGGATAGAGAATTAGAAACATCGGTAAGAGAGAATCATCAATCAGCTGCCTCTTGCACAGCCCCTACTGGGGATGTGCCCACAACCAAGGTCCATGCCCCTTGACCGGAATCGAACCTGCGACCTTTCAGTCCGCAGGCCGACGCTCTATCCACTGAGCCGAACCGGTTTCGGCTCTTATTATTTGTTAATTATTGTATTATTTCCCAAACAAACACTGTAACCCTGCGTTTGCCCCACCCCGGGTTATAAGCTCCCTTATAGGAGAGCAGATGAACTGCATCGCAATGAAACCATCCGGCCGTTCTTGGTCTCGGGAAGAAATTCAGAATGAGGGGGAAGTTTATCCCATTCTCTGTCTTCTCCGCCGCCCTCGGGTCCCGGCAGGCACAGAGGGAGAGTGATGGTCTCGGAAGAAGATGGCTCGGTCGCTGTCGCCATGAACGTGACCGACCACCCTGTCTGCGCACGGCGGGCGGGTCCGCCGTGGTCCTGGCTCAGAGGCAGCCGGAGGGAAGGATGCCGGGGCATCTGCGGGCTCCGGTCCTGAGTGGGAGGAGGGCGTGTGGTGCAGCACGTTCTGCCTCCACCCCATCTGCTGATCTGAAGCAGGGAGAGCCAGGCGGGGCCTCGGGACGTGCCCATGGCAACCGGGGAAGGAGGAAGCGGAGGGCGGGGGGATGCACGGCCTCGTTTGATCCCCGTGCCCATCGGCAAGGGACACCCCCGGACCAGGCACACCTATGCTTTCCGGATCGGATCTTGGAGACACGGCCCTTCTCCCCCAGCGGAGGCGAACGTGTTGTCCCGGATCCATCTTATGCTTTTATGGTAGACATTCCAATCCCCGAGGAAACGGCAGGTCTTACAGTGTCAGGGACTATTTTGTTCTGTAAACATCGCCCACACGCAGGGATAAACGCATCTCTTGGATGGTTTAGTTCTATTCAATTATTTATGGACATAACATTTCAATATGAATCCTCAATATCACAGCAAAAATACTGCTTACACACACACACACACACACACACACACACACACACACCAGAAAAGTCACAAAGGAAAAATACCACGGCTCTTGTTACCGAAAGACCAACCATTGAGGAGTCCTTCCACTATCACGTGGTCTCACTCGGTGAAACAACGGGGCGGGTGGGCGAACAGGCTGACAGCCGTCCATATGAGAAGTGATGCGGGAATCAATACGTAATGACGTGAGAATGAGCTGTTTCGTGCACCCGCACATGTAAAGCTACTCTGCACCCTCCCCCCACTGTACATGGCATACTACTTTGTCTGCTGCTCTACTCACCCGGAGATAGACCGGGGACCTCTTCCCATGGCCGTACATACTCAGCCACGGCTTTTATTTGTTCATTTACTTTAAATTACATTTTATTGATTTTTAAGAGGGATAGAGAGTTAGAAACACCGATGAGAGAGAAACATCCATCAGCTGCCTCCCGCACACTCCCTACTGGGGATGTGCCCACAACCAAGGTCCATGCCCTTGACCGGAATCAAACCTGGGACCCTTGAGTCTGCAGGCAGACGCTCTATCCACGGAGCCACATCAGCCAGGGCTCAGCCACAGCTTTCAGACCAGCTGTGCTCAGAAACAGCTCTGGAGCCAGGTGTGGTGAACTTGCCGTTCAGCCCGTCGTGAGGAAGGGATCACTGGCTTTTTCGTTGGATGTGAACCCATTGTTCTGTCCGTGGAAATGGAGGACACAGATGCCCCTAGACAGCTCCCCGGAGGGCCTGCGAGCCCCCTGGCTAACGGATGCCTGGGGGGGGGGGGGCGGCCCTCCCCGGGAGGAGGGGGGCTGTTCTCTGGTTAGAGGGCCCCCGGAGTCACAGAAACATTTCCCATTTCCAGCACCAGTGGCCGGAGTCCTGCTGTGTCTGGGCTGTGGGAGCGGGCAGCCCGAGGCCAGGCCACCCGGGGGCCGGACTTCGACGGACGGGCCGTCGATCTCCTGGACACTTCCCTCCGAGACAGGGCTTCCGCTCCCAAAGGCCCCGGCTGAGCAAGGGAGCCTCCCTCGTCTTCATGGCACAGCCT